CTGTTTGGACTCTCTTTCTGACGGCACCCATTCACTGCAGAGCATCCATTGCTGAGACACTGATGCAATGCTACATTTCTCCAAACCTGATGAAGAAACAATCTTTCATTTTTATTTTTGGTGAACTGTTCCTCTTTCTCGATACATGTTTTTGTGTTATTATGAATGATTCATTAGTGGACATTATTCTAAAGAAGAAAAAGTATGTTTTCGTGATCTTTCATCAAAATGTAGCTTTTCACCATCCAGTTCATTCCTGAGGCGACTGACTTACCAAATGTATGAAGCCCGCTGCCGTCAGCCATGTGCTTATAAAGATTGAGCACAAATTCACCAACTTTATGGAGTTGCTATAAAAACAAATATTAGAAATACTCACATCAACGCACAATTGATACTCGCATGAATCAACATTTTTGAACTAATACTGCACATAATTTTGAATTCAACCAGAGCATATTTTGGAAAGCCTGCTAAACCTTTCATAAAAAACAAAACATTTGCAAAAGAACAGAAATGACTCAGATGACTAAACGTTCGGCTGTATCCATAAACTTAAATTCTTTGTATAATACTGGCCAATTTTAGTCCAAAAATCATTTCAGATTGTTTTGGCACAGTTTATTCAGTAGATTTCACCTCTCCATTTGAATGAATTACAGTGAGATTATTCATTTTGTTGCACAATAAGCTCTCCTGGACATCTGCGCTAAAGCTTTATATCTAAGCCGCAGGGAGACGGACAGATTTCTGAGCACAATGTCAAAGATATTCAAGCACGACAGGCAGAATAGAATATAATAAAATAGAATAAAATAGAATAAAATAGAATTAAAACTACAAGAAAAAAAATCCGTAGAAAAATTGTCATTTTTGGCCGAGACATTACTAAGCTATTTCCTTTAACCGTAAAAACAACACAATGCAATGCATAATTCAAAATACAGGTGAAACACCTGTGAAAAATACAGTAAATGTATCTATATTAATACTGTACATCATACCCTATTTAAACAGACTTTTCTGAGTGTGTAATATAATATAATATAATAAAGATAAAATTGCAGTTAAACTATTTGTCAATTGAAGAATTTATACATTTTATTCTGTAAAATCATGTTTTGGAAAAAAAAAAAAAGACAGCAAATCATCCTCGGTGAACACACACTTTAAAAGAACGACTCTAATGAAATCTACAAAGCACAATATATAAAAAGCAAATCTACCTAGATTATAAAATGTTATCAGATTTATAAAAAGTATGATTTTCATTTAAGATCAAGGATAACGCTAAAGAACATGCAGGTGAAGAATTATAAACAGCTATTTCCACATGAGTTCAGAAATCACATGCTGCACTTGAAGGGATTCTTACCTTGTTTTTAAGATATTTAAAAACTGTAATATTTCTGAAAACTGGATCAGCCTCAAGGCTCTTAAGAACCTCAATCCTGCATGAAAGAGCAGAAGCAAGTAAGAAACACACTTAAGACTCTCATGAAATAACATCGAGACCCAGAACACATTAAAACCCACAGAGAACCGAGTTCAGCTCGTACCTTTGAAGTGTTCGGCCATGTTTAACAGCGACACTGATTTCATCAGCCTGTAAGAACACGACTAACAAACAATACTAACTAACCGCAGCTACAAAAAATAGAAACCTTCAAAATATCGCAAGGAATATGCAAATATCTGTCTTTGGAAGCTCTAAAAGTTGAGAGCCGCAGCGCTGAACTGAACACATCTGGACGGAGTTTATTTCTCGCTAGACTGACAGAGCGACAGACAGTCGGCTCAACATCTGCACTCAACATTCATGACGTAAAGGCCTAAATTTGAGTTCTGGTTTCAGAAGCATTACAGTGAAAAAAAACAAAAGCTCAGAGAGAAAAACATGTGACTTCAGTGAGGTGACCTTGCTCATTATTAACACACACACACACACACACAAATGCATGACAGATTCACACACACATACTCATTCTACTTCACATCTCATTCATTGCTCAACATCTTTCAATGTGGCTGTGTTCTCAATAGTACAGTGCATATTATTTCTGCAGTACAGACTATAGTATGCATACTAGACACAGTAGTCAAACAGTCTGACTCTATAATCATCAATTATTCAAACTACAAGTGTTTGATGTTCCAAGAAACGAATGTCTTTGATGTTTAAAAACAGACGGAATTACGTGTAACCTTTTAAAACTGCCGTGAAAACACCCCAACCCAGGATGAATATGTTCTGAAAGCCTGTTCAACATGCACATCATCTGCCGCAGTCAAACAGTCTGACTCTATAATCATCAATTATTCAAACTACAAGTGTTTGATGTTCCAAGAAACACGGATTACGTGATTCCAGCATCTTCTGAAGATCATCGGAGTGGGTTTGCACGTGCAGAACTCACTGATACAATGTAACAGTTTTTGAATGGCTTTTAGAATGTTGTGACGCGGTCGCTAAGCAACCATTCTATAGCTGACGGCAACACAAAACTAATGTCTTTGATGTTTAAAAACAGACGGAATTACGTGTAACCTTTTAAAACTGCCGTGAAAACACCCCAACCCAGGATGAATATGTTCTGGACACACTCCACACACACACGCACACACACTCACACACCAACAAAAGGACATTAAGTCAATGAAAGCTGAATAATAACTAAAGCAGGATGATGTGACCCCGTGACCTCCTGTTCCCTATAGGAGGATTAAACTCATAAGCTGCGCTTTGACCACGACTCAATTCATGAGAGAGATGAAGCATTAAAGCAGCCACATATAGGCCTCTTCTCCAATCAAAGTAGATTTGCAGAGTTTTATGTAGTGTTTTTCCGCTTTTACTACATTATGAAGGCCTTGTTCCAAATCACTCATGCTTGTAAAAGTTTACAAGAAGTTTGATGTATCATTTTTTTTAAACTAACTAAAGTTTAAAAGTTTGGAGTCTGTAAGATTTTTTTACGTTCTTCTAAGAACCAAGGCTGCATTTATTTGATCAAAAACACAGTAAAAACCACAAAAAAAATTATATATTATTACCATTTAAAATAAGTGTTTTCTATGTGAATATCTGTTAAAGTGTAATGTATTTCTGTGATGCGCAGCTGTATTTTCAGCATCATTCCTCCAGTCTTCAGTGTCACATGATCTTCAGAAATCAGTATAATATGCTGATCTGCTGCTCAAGAAACATTTCTGATTATTATCAATGTTGAAAACAGTCGTGCTGCACAATATTTCTGTGGAAACTGATGCATTTCATTTTTCAGGATTCACAGATGAATAGAACTTTTAAAAAACAGCATTGATTTGAAATAGAAACCTTTTCTAACGTTATAAATGTCTTTACTCTCACTTTTGATCAATTGAATGCGTCCTTGCAGAATAAAAGTCTAAAAGGTTCCGAGCAGCTAAGCTTTAAAAACAGATTCGACGCAGTGCTCAGACTTTCTCAGGCAGACGGTGACAGTCGAAACAAAGAAATCCTGGAAGTCTCCTGAAGTACAAAGTCAATCCCGAACTCGTTTAGAAAATGGGTTTCGACTTTCGACTCCAAACAATTAAATGATATTTCATTACTTTGAAAAATCACGAATAATCCAGTGAAAGTGCTTGTTCTGCGATTAATTAAACACACGTTGCAGGTTAACACTTGCTCCAAGAACGGCATCTGCGTCCTGCTTCATCACCACAGACAATAATGCTGACCTAAATTAGTGAAAACAGTCTGTAATTGCAAAATAATGAATGAACCCGTCTGTTTCCGAGCAGCTGAATGATTCCTGCTGTAGTTTTATGATTATTCAGAGGTTTAGATGTGACCTGAGCTGCTCATGCCCTCAAAAGACCTCAAACATGATGCATGAGAACAAACAATCAGCTATTTTAAACAATAGGAGGATTTCTAGAGAACGTCTCTCTAATTCCCAGCACGCCAGAGATCACAAATCCCAGCGAGCTGCTGAATAAACTGATTTGGTGTAACGGATGGTGTGTTACAGATTGTGTTTACTGACAGATTAAGGGTAATGCATGTAATGTCCAGCAGGTGGCGCTGCAGACCTTTATCTAATAATATCTTCCGATGAGTATTACATTTCTAACACCCTCTGGTCATAATCTGATGAAATAATCAGGTATTAAAGGTAAAGTGTCAGTAATGGGAGAGTGCTTTACCCAGCCAGCTCCTGTTCAGATACACGGACACAAACACAGGCGGGACGGTGAAGAAATCCACCACTGAATTCACCTCCAGCCAGAACCACAGCTTATCATTGGCTGCGATGAACTGCCAGAAGGCAGAAAAGAAAGCCAAAACACATGTCAGTCAACAAATGCATACAAATAAACCAGTTTTATAGTTAATTAAAAAATAAAAGTGTTTTTGGCAATTGAAATAAAGCTTAAATAAAATTTAATAAATAATAAAAATATAATAAAATATAAAACAAAAGTAAAAAAAATGATAAACTAAAGTTAAAACTAAAACTTAAATAATAATAAATAAAAATACATAAGTTTAAGTTGAAGTACTAAAATATTTTATATTACTTATTTTATATTATATTTTATTACTTAAATAAAAACAAATCAGAGCTGTACAGAAATATTTTTCTAATATTTAACTATTAAAAATGACAAAAATACAAAATTATAACTAAAACAAAATATGAACATAAAAGCTCATTCAAAACATTAAGAAATACACAACAGAATGTAATTAATACTAAAATAACACTGAAATAAACTGAATAATGAATTCATTAAAAAATATATAAATATTAGATGAAAAACCCAAACTTAAAAATATATTTAACTAATAAAAATGACAAAAAAACATAGAATTACTAAAACTTATATATATATATATATATATATATATATATATATATGGCTAATTTAAAATAAGAAATATATAATAGTATATAATTAATACTAAAATAACACTGAAATAAACTGAATAATATAATATAGTAATATTAAATATTAAAAATAAACATATTAGACGAAAACCTATACTTAAAAAAAAATTAAATGAAAAATAAGTTAATAATTAATTAAAATGACAAAAAAAATTACAAAAGCTTAAATTAAAATAATATATACAAATAAAAGCTAACTCATACTATTAATAAATATATAAAAGTATATAAATAATACTAAAATAACACTGAAATAAACTGAATAATAAAATATTAAAAATACAAATATTAGATGAAAAGCCTATACTTAAAAAATCTTCAATTAAAATTTTAAATACATGCGTTTAAACTTAAGTACTAAAATGACTAAAACTGGAATAAAAACAAACCAAAGATATACAGAAATATTTTTCTAATATTTAACTAAAAAGAAAACAACTACAAAAACTTTAAGTAAAATTACATTATACCAATAAAAGCTAATTCAAAGTATTAACAAATGGTATATAAAAAAATACTCAAATAACACATGACAAATAAACTTACACGCAGTCCAAAGTACAAGAGGAAAAACACATTGAAGGCCATATCGATCTGCAGCCAGTAGTCCTTGTAGAAATGCTGACAGGATTCGATGGGTCTGTTTAAACACAGAAAAACAGACCGCAGTTCACTTTAATGACGGTTCAGTGAAAACTTTACTGCAATCACCTGCAAGTAAATACTGCATTATGTTATCTATATTCTATTGTGAATAAAATATAAGTTTATGAGATTTGTAAATTATTCCATTCCTTTTTTACTCACAATTTGTACAGTGTCCCAACTTTTTTGGAATTGGGTTTGTAAATGATCTTACGCTAACTTTATACATTACACATTAAAAGTTTGAATCTTTAACATTTGCATTAAGCATTATTTCATTAAAGCATTCGATCGATCAATACATTTTAGTAATAATGAATCCCTTCATTTCATAAATGTATAATGCAGCTCTCATTTAGACGTTAAATGCATCTTATTCCCGACAGCGGAAAGAATTAACATCATTATGAAGCAGAAAACTAGTCAGAAATATTATGAATTATTAAAGCAATGATATTATGACTCTGATGTGTGCTATTATATGACATACAGTAGGTCCATGTTTTTTTATCCCTTGAAGGCAAATAGAAGAGTCTTTTTCCGTGTAAATATTTACTGCTAATAACGGTCGGCACATGTACAGCACGAATACTTTTTCTTATACTAAATGACGGCAGGTAGACAGTGTAAGCTATATATCTGAAATGTTCTGATTGTCTTTGGTTTCTCGTAATGATGCAGATGCTCAGGACAGATCCAATGAGTGGGTAATTGGTAACAGGATTAGATGCCTCGTTTGAATTCAGTCAGAGGCAGTCTGTGTGGACAGAGAGAGGACGAGAAACCCGTTCTACAGCGCGTTCAAATGAAAGAAGAAAAACTAAAGATCGATGGACGGACCAAAGAATGGATAGGAGTGCATAAAAGAAAATGAAGACTATCTTAGGACCATTTAGTATTTTTGTTCTACATTATGACTTTATGTTCAAGGAAATTAAGCAGATTTACCCACCAAAGTCTCATTATTGCAAAGAATCTGGACATTTGACTTTTACTTGTTTTTTTCTCTCATTACTATAATACAGTATTTCTTTACTGAAAATACCGAATTACTAAACTCTCAGCCAACAAACAAAACAGCATATTAACAATCATTATCAGAACTGCTTTATAATTATTATTATCATTAGATTTTGATAGTTTATGTAACATAACATGTATATGCAAATTTAAAGTGGAATATATACATTCATTAGTAATTAACAGAATTTAATATCAATCAAAATATGTGATATATCAAAATATTTATATATATTGATACAAACTTTATATATATATATAGAGAGAGTTGACATATATTCTGACTGATATATATGCATTACAGTACATGTCTGTTAATGACTAATGAAAGTGAAACACTTTTAATTCAATTATGCTTTCTTATACATCAATTATTCTGTCAATTCTATTATATTCAGGAAACTGGTCAGCATAACATCATAGGGCTGTCACTAATGATTATTTTGGTAATCGACTAATCGGTCGATTATTCTGATGATTAATCGAGTAATCAGATTTTTTTTTTGTGGTAATAAAAATAGACCTAAGCGAACAATAGACTTTAAAATGACTTAAAATACATATGTAATAGCAATGAGGCAATAATAATTGGTTCAAATAAAATATCAAAAGCAATTAATCATGTTGTTTTATTAAACAATGTTAAAATACATGTAATAAAACAATATAATCAACTTATGTACATTACATCAGCATACAGTTTATTAAAAGCAATAAAACAAATGCTACCTTGATGTATAGGCCTAAACACTTTATTTAAATCCGTTTTATTTTAATATATTTTTTACATATTATAGTAATGACAATTAACTTTTTTTTTTAAATAATGTTTTGGGAGGAAGTGTCAAAAAAATACATTTTTATAAAAATCATAAAAAGTTCCCTAAAAATATCTACAGAAAAAAATGTAAATCCTAAGAATAAATAT